CAAATCATTGCATCTGTTCTAGTGTTGTACTCGTTGACCGTATGCTTTTCCTCTGCTTGTCGGACTCATTGCTTTTTTGTGTTTAATCCACTCCTCCCGCCAGAGAGGCACTTGCGGCGAAGGATGCTGCCGCTGCTGTGGCCGAGCTACAGATCATCGACATGCTCATCCGTGCTTTCGCCGAGCTCGTCGGTCGCTCCAACAATCAGCACCTCAGCTTCATAAACTTCCAGCTGGTGTTTTGCAACACCAATCTAGAGATGCAAGGGATCCACGCCGTACGTTGGTTGTCGCGCGGAGAGGCGGTGATCCGCTTCGTCGAAGTGCTGCCGGCGGCCATCGTCTTGCTGCGTGATCACCCCAGCGGTCTTTTCGAGATTGTGACGTCGTTCAAGGTGCAGTTCATGCTGCACTACCTCGCCGACATACTGGAGGAGCTGAATCACCTTAACACCCGCTTCCAGCAGCGCCAGGTATGACACTCCTCTCATCGTTGAATGTCGTCAGTACCATGTGCTTGCATCTAGGCACTCAGTCATACTTTGCACGTTTATTTTGCATGTCGTTCATGGTGCCCTGTTTGCTTTGAAATTATCTCTGTGTTTTCGTTGCAGGTGGATCTCACAATCGTGGCCTCAGTGGTGGACAACACGTGCAACCGCATCACCGACCGCTACATCAAGTGCGGCGGTGGTCTCTTCTTCGGGAACGGCAGCGAGAGGCTTGGGAAATTCCTGGAGCGTCACGGGAGGCCCGACCAGCGCCGCGTGCGCGTTCAAGGCGTTGACTCGGAGGGGAATGCTCAGGCGTTCGAGTATGTGCTGCATGAGCGGATGGTGGAGGGGCACAACACCAAGAGCGACCTAGACTCCTGCGCCCAAGTCTGCCGGAAGCATGCAATCGATGTCGTCACCAACGTCCGTGCCCGCCTGAAGGACCTGGCTAACATGGAAGGATGCAAGCTCTTCAAAGCCAAGACCTACCCACGAGACGACGAGTTGCGCCTAGCGAGATGCAAGCAGTGGCTGAAGCAGTCCCACAACCTCTTCGATGGAAAGCTCCCAGGTGAGACAGATTTGTTCTCGATGATGCTGCCTGTCATCGATGCTTGCGTGTCCGTTCTTAGGCTGCAGTCCCCGCAATCCATTTGCAGCAACATTCGTTGCACATCTCCCCTCAAAGGCTTACTGTTTCCTATCCTTTGAATCCCAACCCCACCATCCTGTAGGCTTCGACTACAACAAGGCCGTCACGGAGCTGTGGGTGTTTACTGCTACCATGGTGTCGCAGTACAAAGATGACGAGTTTCAACAGGGGCTCACCTTGACTCTGGACAACAATGAGTGGCAGCGGAGCTACCCCAACATCCTCAAGCTGTGGCAGGCACTGGCGGTGCTCCCTCTCAGCACAGTGGAGTGCGAACGTGGTTTCTCGAAGCAAAATCTGATCAAGTCATGGAGTCGTGGGTGCCTTGGCGATGACAGCCTGGGCGACTTGATGCGGTGCTCGCTCCTGTGCTACCAGATTGACTGGTTTGATGTGGTAGCTGTTTTCCGAGGTGAGAAGCGGCGGCGGCCTCTGCGCGACTTGTGTTCTGCCAACCCAACTCCAGCTGCGGCTTCTGCAGATGCAGGCACCATAAGGACTGACCCTGACCCTGACCCAGTTCCACTAGAGGATCCTAGTGTGCTGTAGGTCGTGTGGTTGTGATTTTCCTTGCCTACGTTCCTAGTTCATGCTAATTATTTCCATATGTTAATTATTGACATGCAGTGTAGCTAGGAATATAGTGCATTTCATAACGTGAAACTGGGTTCTGCTTTTTTTACCCTGAGCACCCAGAGTGCCGAATGTTCTACCCTGCTGAATCAGACTTGAGAAAAATTGTACTCTGACCGGCAGGGTAATTTTTTTTTGGCACTCTGATTCCTAAGAGTGGCCTAAAACCAATTTTGAGGCCTGTTCCCGTTGTTTCTTGAGCAGTCCCGGTCTCTGTCTGCAGTCCTGAGGTGTGCAGACCAGAGTTGCCGTGTTGAGTTTCTTGGCCGCTGGGTGAGCCCGTAGAGACTTTCTTGCCCTTGCTGTCCATGTCTTGTAATCAATGAAGTCGTTAAATTGAGTTGAGTTGCAGGTTGTTGAAGGAGCGTAGTTGCTGGGAGTTTGGTCTCTGACCAGCTCTCATACCATGTTGGGCTGAGAAAAGCCCTTAGGATCTTTCCAGAGACTAAGTCCCAGTTGAGGATTGAGACTTGAGTAGTGCAGCGGAAGTTGAGGCAGTTGAACCCTTGTGCTAGTATATGAGAAGTGATTGATTAAAGAAACAAGCATACAGCAATTTATAGAAGATAAGAAAGCAGTTGTAGAGTACAGTTACAGGAACGGTTTATCGAGTCGCACGGCGACTCGATTACCGCTTCGGTTACCATCCATGATGTTGTAACGGTCAGTCGCAACCTCCAGTTGCGACCTTTCGAGTCTTTTCGCATTCTTTGCCCGCCCCCTCATGTAACCTCCGTTGACTCGCGTGCTCCCCTGTAGTCTTCCTCGAGTGCAGTGTTACACTTCAGAAACGCTTAAGTCCTTTGAGATATTTCCAACATAATGGATCAGCTCTTTTATTGTAAAGTCTTGTACAAGAACTTGATGAGGAACAAAATTATTATAGATCATTCTTTCATGAACCTCTATTAGGCTACAAGGTATAGCCTCAAAACACATCCACTATCCTCATGATTCCAGCACCTCCTTTACTTCCTATGTGAGCGCCTGAGCCTCTGAATCCTCCTCTTCAAGAAATTTGCCATCTTGTTCGCCAGAGTCACCTTCTGAGAAACAAACTGCCCACGCGCAGCACCATCCGAATAATCAGCTGTTGACATGAGCCCGTAGTAACCATCAGGGGCGCCCAGCATGCCATCCACCACCTGCTGGTATGTATCCCCGTTAGCAGCAGTCCTGGCACCCGCATTGTACCAAATTCCTGTAAATGCGTATATGAAACCGATGGCACCGGGATCCATCGGTGGAAATCCCTGAGATTGGAGGGCAAGATTGAGCACCACTGCTCCCTGCTCCGTCAGATTCTTCCACGTGGCATCGGATCCAAAGTCCAGCGCCACGTCACCTGTTTCCCCAGCGAATCCGCTGTTTACGGTGAGCGCAGTCGGGAAACCAGGGGTAGGCACGCGGACGGCAACAGCATAGCGAATGTGGTAGTCGTTTCTGATCCTGTTGAGGAGAAACGGAGGGGTTGAGAAGGGTGGGAAGGGGATAGCATGATGTAAATGAAATCGGCCTCCATGACTTGCGGAGGACAGCACAAATCCGCTTGTAACAAGTTGCAAGCTTCAATGAACGACGTCTCAGTCTCTTATCAACAAATCTCTCTTCTCCTTCGGTTGTGGGACATGTCTTACTTGAGAATCCCGAAAGTGATGACTCCAGCAGTCGTCGGGTCGCCGCTCAGATCCATGCCGTCGATGGACGCCGCCAAACCAGCTGCAACGGCCAGGATTCAGTTTCGAGGTCGGATGGGGAAACGTAGAGAGACGAATGGACTTCAAGTGCTTAGAATACGAACCTTATACTATATCAGTTAGCAAGAGTCGAGGCGAGCGAGTTGCATGGGAGAAGTCAGTATGAACTTACCATAGGGATATCCAAGTCCCTTGGAGAAACGTTCTTGAAGCCATCCGCTGACGCTCGCGAGCGCCCTTCGTTGGGCCGCAAGCTGGGTGTCCGCGACTGCCGCTCCAGGGCGCGTCGCGTGGCACGCTGAGGGATAAAATAAATAAGGGGCGAGAATTTGTTAGTGAAGAGTTTTGAATAAATCTTGCAGATTTGAACACAAATTGATTAGAGGAGGCGATTTGCTGAAGAGAAGTGTGCGTCTTCGACATTACAGGAAAAGAGGAGAGCAGCCGCGAGGAAGAGGAGAAGGTCGGGCCGAGGAGCCATTCTGCACGAGAATGCGTTGATGTGGAGAATACGTTGGATTTGGAGGAACAATTTTTGGGAGTATGGGATCCTATATTCTCTCTCTGGCATTGGCTTACGGAAGTTCAACTTGAGTCGGGCACGTCGGATAGTTGAATCTGAAATGCGACGAGATGTGCTATTACTTGTAGGTGGTGTGGAGAGGATAGTAGTTCCCATGGTGGTGAGGGAAGGGAAGGGCTTGCATGCATGTGCATGTGTAACACTTTCAGGCTACTGTATCGCGACACCTTTGTCCTCGTCGTCAAACTAACATTTTTCGCTGTCAATTTCGTCACGGTCCGATGAGTCGCAAAATGGTGTTACCATCCGTTCAATTTTTTCGAAAACCTCGCCCCGGTAGTCCTCGAGTCGCCACATTAGCCGCTTTCACCGACAAAATGTCGGTTTGTGTAGGCTTTCTAGGGCCAGGCTGGAATCTGGCTGTCCCTATCTCCACGATGGACGAATCATGGGGCAGAATCGCATCGCCTGGAAGCGCAGGGAGAAAAACGTTGAATCTCTTTCGATCACCCCACCTCATTTTCAACGTGGTGGATGCGGTCCGGGGTGAGTGTTCGCTAGCATGGCGTGATGTGAGCCACCGCCACCAGCATCCATTGGCAAGAGAAATGCGGAGGCTTTCGAAAACTGGATAGCACTCGCGAATGTTCGGTCAGATTTGCAAATTCCTGTTGGGGCGTAGGGCAGGGTAGTTACCATGCGAAGGAACTAGCGACTGATCGCGACTGTCTAATTGCTAGATCCCGTTTCGTGAATCCAAAGTCGCAACGTCGCACAGCTGAGTGTGGTGCCTTCCGCGCCCACGTTGTAGCTCGTGCTGCCAACAAATTCACCCACAAGTTTGGCGGCCAGTTGGGCTGGACTGCATGTCTTATTTCCGTAGCAGTGCGTCTGGAGCGGGGAGATCTTCCATCCCATCGTCTTCGAATTCGTTTCGTGCGTTCGAGATGGCTTTGGGCTTGCTTCCTCCCCTTCTCTTTTGCCTTCCCCATCTGCGTTTCATCAAACCCTCAATCACAACTCTCGGAATCACAACCTTATCATCAGCCTGAGACGATTCAATCTGGGAGAAAGTGCCCATGTGGGACACACCGACGGACGGTTTAGCACAGCGCACTCACTTTTATTCCGAAGTACCGTACACCAAATCGTGTCAAGAGGTTGACACAAGCCAACCCACCCACAATCCCCAAGACAAAGCACCCCACAAACTTGAAATCCTCCCAAACCCAGCCTGAGAAACGAGTTTCATCGATCCGTTTTTCGATTTTGAAAATCCGTTATTCAGATGGAAAGCTTGAACCCGAAGAACTGTCCGCGCGTCGCCCAGTCGCGTGCGCCACAGTGGTCACGAGCCCATAGTAGGAGCTCGCACCCTCGTTGAACATGGCATCGATAAGGTCCTTAAGCGTGCCCCGTCTCCGCGACCTTGGTGCTCGCCTTCTCGTAAATACCCTCGAAGCTGTAGTCGAAGCTGTTCACGAATTGCCGGAAAACCGGGAACACGGGGTTCCACGTGTCGTTCGTCCACGTGGCGTCCGCAGTGAAGTCAAACGCCAGCGTTCCAGTCTCGCCCTTTTGCCCCCTTGAAAATGCCGACGGTCGTCGGGTAACCCGAATCCTTCAGATCGACTTTGCCGTTGTAGTAAACGTTATAGTCGCTATCCTTCCTGCAGCGAAAACGAAAAGCCGACGCACGATGACCACGTCAGGTTAAAGGTCGCATATCGAAATTTTGCGGAAGTTGACGAATGCTGGAACTCAAGAGAGAAAGCGCAAGTTACACAAATTAATCACTGTGTATCGGGTTACCACTTACTTGAAAACGGACATTCGGATCATTCCGTGGTCCTTCTTGTTCCCGCCGCTGACCTGCTTGCCGCTCATTGGCGTGGCGAGAGTTCCTGAGACAATCCAGCAGCACGCCGCGTTGAACGCGAAACAAGAGATTCGTCAGAGTGACGATGCTAGAGGGAATCTTCCACACAAGATTGCTGCAGACTCAGGGAGTAAGGTTGAAGTGTAGAGGCTCCGCAGCGCGGCAGAGCAACGTACCGGCAAACTGTCCCAGAGCGGCGAAGTCCTTCCACGTGTACTTGCTTCGGTGATGGAGCTGCCTCCCCGGAACGGCGTTGCCTGCACGACACAAAGAAGGCAATGCGTTAGTCACTGAATCTGCATTTCGTGGCGCGGTCGAAAGGTTTTGCAACGGAGTATACGGTAGAACAGAGCGTGTCGTGCGGATTCTCGACGCGTGAGTATCGTACCGGTCACGACAAGGCAGAACAATGCAGCGCAAAGCAGGAGGTGTCTGACTGCCATGGTGTCCTCGCGCAGTGTTGATGATATTGAACGGCGGAACAAGCTAGGATGGGAAGTACGGTATTCGTACTTACAGATTGCACGTTTAGTTGGAATGGGTGTGAATGGTGGTGAGTTGCGCATTTTATATGCGAAGACAGAAAAGTGTACTCGAGGGGACAACAATACCAGGTATGCTGGCGCTTCGGCGAATCGCTGGGTTATTGCTGTTTCGTCGATCTCGCATTCTCGTGACGACAATTCGCAAGCTGGTCGCCAGACCCTTAGTTTTGGTTTGGTTCCATACCGAAGTAAGAGGCTCGTATGGCGGCGCGACAGCTGCTGCCCAGCTAAACGACAAGCGCTGTTTATCAATGTCGGTGCCGAAGCCTACACAGTACAATTCGGTTCCTAGCTCTTGTTGAGCGACCTATATTAATTGGCAACGTATACAATTAAACCGATCCGAACCGACTTTACAATACAAGCACGACGACAGGCGAAAAGAATGCGACGACGGTGTACAGATATTGTCGCCATTCTCATGTTCCCTTCCTCAGCATGACAGCACGACGACGGCTTGGCTCGTGATTGGGGGACCTTTCGTGTTCTCACCACACATGTTTGAGATTGTTGGCGTGACCCATGAGTTCGTTATAGGGGTAATCGTACAAGAAGTGTAATAACCCATACAGTATTATTACAGTACCTAGAACGTAGCAAAAACTTTGCCTTGAATGATGGGGTTAAACCTACATTGCCACATAAGATCATCTACTCGATTGACTATGAGCAGTTACTTCACTAAAATTCTGAAAACCTCATCTTCAGAGACAATCTTCTCCCTAGCTCGTCCTTTCGTGACACCACGCCGAACCTCTTCAGCATCTAACTTCATCCAATCCTCAAACGTTATAAAGGGGCACCCTCGTTGCTTCAAGAGAGCAGCAAGCTCAGGGCCCCCATCTTTGCCACCATGGGTTATGTCGGAAGGCGATGGCGAAAGGAGCTTGTTTGCAGCTGCATCTTGTGCAACGCTGGAAACCTGCTCACAAGGCAGGGATTTGAGGAAACCCTTGAATGGATGTGAAGCCTAAGATGAGCAGCTACAAGGAACAAATGATACCATAAGAGCAGTCGGATGATGCAGTTCATCGGAACTTGCACAACCATCAATCTTGTCCAACGATCCCTGTGTGTGCCTCAAAACGTGCCCCAACTTACAACCCCAGGAGAAATAGACCAGGACTCACCACCTCCTCAGCATCAATCAGGTTCGAGCCGACAATGCCCGTGTGGGGGGGGAGGTGCTCTCTGTGAAGCCAGA